GGCCCCGAAAAGCTAAGGTTGGCCAAAAACGAATTCGAGCACATGATAAACTTGGGGATCACACGACCGTCAAACAGCCCATGAGCACTCCGTTGCACATAGTCCCTAAAAAGGATAGCAACGACTGACGTCCAACTAATGACTGTCGGCGATTGAATGCAAAAACCATTCCTGATCGTTACCCATTGTCCCACATTCATGATTTGACTTACTTACTTACTTACGCCTGTTACTCTTCATGAAGGGGCATAGGCATCCAACCCTATCCTGAGCATTCCTTTCCATTTTCGATCGTTACCCATCGCCCCCACTTTCACGATTTGACAGGTACCTTGAAAGGTACAACTATCTTTTCGAAAATCGACTTGGTTAAAGCTTATAGCCGAATTCCTATGGCATTTGATGACAATCCTAAGTCAGCTATCATCACATGTTTCGGCCTCTACGAATTTTTGCGCAAGCCATTCGGCCTAAGAAATGCTGCCCAGACCTCCAAAAGTTTCATAGATGACATTTTTCTAGGTCTCAACATCGTACACGCTTATGGTGATTACTGCTGTATAGCAAGTCCGGAGAGAGAATCCCATCTTCTGCGTCTGGACCTTGTTTTCGATCGACTACGAAAGGATGGCATTATTGTAAACATTCAGAAATGCCGAATCGGAACTGACTCCTCAGATTTCTTCGGACACATTATTGATACTCCAGGCATCCGGCTGACATGGGACTGCATCTCCTGACGTTGCTCCACTGCCTTGTGGATCAGACCTATAGGTCGAAAGCTCCGGGTATGGCCCCCCAAGAAAATCACCACTGTCGTTGGTCGATTGAACCCTTCTTGTGTTATTTATCCCAAATGAAAATGCGAACTGACATTAACTACACAATGGCTGCTATCATTTTGTCATTTAATATAGGACTCTGTTGTATGTGTTGTTTTTCCGTCGTTCCTACTCGTATATACACATTTCGGTTTATAATATTAACACGGTTTGCTATATCCTTACCTGTCTTGCGTATTGTCGTATCAAATTCAGTTCGTTTGCGGGGCCACTACATACTTTACTTCTATCAACACGAATAGGACCTACCTCACGTGTCGTTTTCAGTCTACAAAACTCCTCTGTATATGCTCCGCAGAGTACCTGAACAGGTAATGTGCGAAATACAAATTTTATGAGCACACAGTCATGACATTACAAAGTAGTGGCATTCGTTCAAATTGATGACTGATTTGCACTTCATCCCGTAGTTATTTCAAATTCAAATATAACATGTTCAATTGTACTCATCTAGTCCTATCTGTCCTAGATTGAAATTTTATGGGAATTCTTACTTAGTAAATCAATTCGTTACTTCTGGTCACCATATTAGCGTTGCGATGGAGACTGCGGTTGGACACGTGGACGAACATTCAGATATAAAAGTTTGGCAGACGTTTATCACGTGGTGAACCTCATTCACGTAATTCATATATATTTTGTCACGCTATCTGTCTTAAGTTTGGAAGAAGTTGGACATATCAGATCTCTTTGTAAGCCACCAATAATAACAAGATCAGTAATTCGGATGTTACAAATTTTCATGATTCTAGTAATCACACTCTATACTTATTTATTACCTCGAGTAACACACTTCACACCCAAAAAATAATAACATATAAGCGATGGTGATTTTCCTGATTCTGTTATGGTCATGAATTGCCTCAAATCTATCATTCCAGTTGGAGGCCTGAAATCATTAAAACCCGATTCTGTAATTAGACCTACAGAAGTTTCTGCTTCAAATATTTCTGATCATAAACTTTCTGTTGTGGAGCGTTACAATTTACTTTTAAAGACGGCAAATCTTCAGTCATAATCTATGAATTTTTCATCTCCGATTGTGGGAAATCCGTTCCTATCCTAAAAATTCAGGAATGCTTCAACTACAACTTTCCTAGGTGACCACTGAGGGAAACTCTGATGGACGGCCTGATGACCTGTTGACTATAGAATCAAGGTGGGAAGATTTGTTCACAACTTCAAAACGTTTATGTTCTGATACTATGGAAGAACATGCTAAGAACTTGGAAACGAATGCTATTTCTATTACTGCTGCAAGATTTGAGGACCCGGAGAGGAGAATAGATGAGATCCCTTATTACAGCGATCCCAGACCGAATACGAGAGAAACATTGACAAAATTGCTCGGACGAAAAATGTTCGTTCGGATGTTGCATGTTTACAGTGTGCTGACGTTACATACTATCACAGAACTGATCTTCAACAGCTTAAGAATAGTGTTAGATTTGTAAGATTATGGCCCAGTTCGGCAACGGTACCATAATAATAAACCTAATCCTGAAATTGTAGATTTACAACAATGTGACTACTTGATCTATGAGATCTTACGTGGTAGTCCCATCATTATCTACAAAGACTCTTCGTATCGTGAGAATCAGCTACATAAAGTCTAGTGTTTTTGAAGGACAAGTTTGGGCTGAAGATAGAACAGTGTGTTCAATGTGAAAAGGTTTGGACTACACAAAATAACCATGCCTGGAGGGCTGAGCCATGCCATGTTGATTAATTAACTGTTTCCGCATTCGTCGTTGTTGGCCTTCTTTGTGTGTCAAGTGTTGAATATCTATTTTCCAACAACAGATCTATGGTCCGTATGCATTTCAGTCACATCAACCAAACACATTACAAGGACTCAGGTAAGTATTTTTCGGTTAAATTCGTTAATTCCGGTACTAATAAGTTTCTTCTAGACAGTAATAAACATAACTTTAAAATAAAATCAAAGATATGTTCGAGAAAGCTGTCTGAAAGACATACTATAAGTCACAAAAATCCCAACATTCACTTAAGCTGTGGCAGTTGAAATGCTCGATTCCTCACTTATTGCTAATTTCAAATAAAATACAACTGTGCTCATCTAGTTCTATCTGTCTTAAATTGGTCTATCCGACTACTTTCAGTCACCATGAAAATATTTACCATTTTTAATTAACATACCTAATACAACGGTATTTTTCCATGGCTGAGTTAATTTTGTGAAAATTACTATTTTTGCATTTGGTAAATAAAGAAGGAATGAATCGAGCAAAGAAATTTCTTTACAATTAGTTTTTCATCATGGCTCTACACTTTATATATATATATATATATATATATATATATATACATGATCTAAAGTAATGAAATAATACTCATCGAGTGGACACGTTACGTAATAATTACATAGTGACATTTCGATTAGGAATTAACAATGAGTAATTGGAAAAAAAGAGGATTAATAATATTCAAAGTAATTATACAAAGATCAAGAAGTTGCTATGTTGCATAATATATGAAAAGAAGAAAAAGCAGAACTTTTAAAACCTTTCTCGTTTGTTTTCTTTTGTTTTGTTTCTATTTATCTTAATATCTAAAGTCTGCTTATGTTCATATTTGCGATTATTACTGTTATTATTATGATGATTGGTCCCCCGACAAATTAGATTTTTTCGTCTCTTGTTCTACTTCTAAATGCATTTTATTCATAAGCATCCAGAGTTTATAACTAAATACAAATTATCTTGTGTTACACTTAAATAAATTAACTTATGAGATTCATTTTATCTTCAACACATATATGTGACACAGTAATTGAGGTTTTATTACCCTTTGTAATTAATTGTGACTTTCATAGCATCACTTCAAACACTTACTGCACAAACGCTTAGTCTGTAGTCAAATCTTACTGCATTAATAAGTTGTTTTCTTTTTTATTTATTTTTATTCTTTTTTTGTCAATTATTTGGAGATGCGTACATAATAATTTATTCTTGTTCTGCGTTCACAAACAAGCTTATTAAACTATCTACATATTTTGTGTTCCCTTCATTTCTATTCCCCTATTTTCCTCCTGTATTTCTTTAAAGTCAACTCAATATTCTCAATTACACAGAACCTGTTTTCTTTAAATAATTTAAATATTATGCCAACATTATTGAAAATCGTGTATCGTTGCACTTCTGAAGAAATCCAAATTGTTTCTTCACAGCATTTACGTACCCATAGGTAGTTTGTGAATAATAATAATAACCTTTGATTGATGACTAGACAGTGTAAAAAGCAACTGTCAACGTCCAGGCTGTCAATACTCCGTGGAACTTGGTATTCAGTGAGGTGAGTATAAAGGATGATACCACGAAAATTGCACGAATCCAATGCTTGTGGCTTTCAAACTGTTTAGCAAAAATAGCTGCGTATGGTTGTCAGCAGTGCTGCTCGAACGAAAACAGCCTTCTATCCGAAACCATTACAATGGCAAATGCTGATGAAAGATGCACTGGAAAGTGTAATCGGACCACATCAAATGGTGCTCACTTGGTCGATACATAGATTGATGTGGAGTTACCTCAAATAAACTCACATTCGATTGGCTTACATGGGCCAGTTGAAGAGGAATGACCTTTAAATAGGTCTGTCGGAAAAAAAGCTCAGAAATAGAAGTTCCATCCCGCACCCTCTGAATGGCAGCTAGCAGGAAACGCCTGGAAAACCTAATCTCAATGCTAGGTCTGTTTCTGGTAGAAAAAAACAACAACCTAACTACCTAAGTTATTGATAATCATCCAGGAACTGATGAAAGTTGATAAATGGGTATAAATGGAGAATGAGAAATGAACCAATGTTTCTAGAGAAATAGCGGTCCCCTAAACGGAAGCTGAGAAATTGAAGACTGGTCATAGTGATAGGTAAGTTATCTTTCATAGAGTCATTGAGATTGAACCCGAAATTCGTTTAAAGCACGACATCGAGTTCATAAAAGAGCTAATTAACCAGCTAATGCCTTATGATATTTCTGGAGTCACCTTACTAAAGGTTTATATCAGTGTATATGGTAGAGACTTCCTTCCCTTCAGTTTATGCAACACTCCCCACACACGCTGGACACTGCGACCATTAAAAAACTCAATTTTTAGTCTACCAATTGAGCTTGATATAAGCAAATCCATGAGACCCGATGAAATACAATCTAGGTTACTAAAGAATTAGCAAATTTTGTCGCGAACGATGCGGGAGGTTCGATTTTTCAAGGTGGTTACACAAGTATGTATACTGTTCTCCGAAATGTTGCTTTGCTGTCTTCAAAACATATTGGACTTCAACCTCTTTGTTCGCAAACACATACTTTGATAAAACGGCACCGTTTGTATGTAGTTTTGCCCGGGAAAATTGTGCCTTTACCACTTGGTTAGTGTCCCTATTATTTGTTACTTCGTTATGTTAGTTTCCACAGTAGTTTCTAGAAACGCAAGTCATGAGAGAAAAATGCCTAAAAGAGTCTCGGACTTCATGTCACGTGTATTCTTCGATAATATGGTAGGCAACTTACATCACTGCTAAATATAATTAGCACTTCTATATTATGTTGGGTCTTGTTCCTTCATTGCTTCTAATTTTTTTTGTCAACTTATTTATTGGACCAGCCGAGTTGACGGACATACCAGAGGACTATGAGCCACGTCACTGGGAATATCATAAAGTGGGTTATTTCATTCACTTACTCATTTTTAGCACCCTATTACGCGCTTCATTGCGAAGTACATGTGCGAACATCCTCAGAAGCTGTATGAATCTTCTTTAGCGGAATTGGATGAGGTTCGATATACTAAGGAGCTAGTGTAAGTCGTTAACTATCATTGTTTGTACAACTAACGGTGTGAACGAATACTCGTATAATCCTTGGTGTTATTTTTGAACAATCAAATAATATGTAACATTACTAATCTTCAAATATCAACTTCATTATCCCATTAAAAGTCAAATCATCCTCTAGCCCTAACCATTTCCCTTTTCCTAAGAGTAGTGACTGGAACAATTTGTAACTCCATTCTCCAGAAACATATGTAAAGAAGGGAATATTGTTGTGGATAAAGATAGTCAAAACATCCAGACTTGTCGGGTTTGTTCCAAGAGCTTTATGAAGTGACATTTAGGAACCACTAAGGTGTTTAGAGCGTTCCTCCTTTTTACCTAACCAAATGTTATAATAAAATAATCGGGATACTAGTATCTGTCCACATTCTTAGAAATATTGTTCACATCTGCTGGGATCACCGAGTAAGTAATTGTGAGGTTAAACGCAGGGTATTAGGTAATGATGGTAAGTCAGTTAGTGACTTTGTGAATCTTCATTGACTGAGATGGTTCGGCCATGTGTTACGTATGCCTGAACACCGATTGCCGTGGTGTTGGGGACGGTTGGAAGAAAGTTTGGGGCGACAAAACCAAAATGTGGCATCAGTCCATTAAATCACTAACATCTGGTCTGAACCATTATGGCAGATGAAGACTACTTAGTCGGGTTCCACGCGACTATCGTAACCAATGGCTTGAAACTGGGTGATATGGCTGAGAATCTATCACAATGGCGTAGGTGTATACACTCCTTGTCTTCCCCTAAACTGTGAGATTAGAATTACTTTATACATTTCTTTCTACGAACTAATTCTTTCTCCTTATATCAAATCCTTATATGAAATCTGTTTTGCTACCATTGAAGTAAATGCCTCTATGAATTTGACGATCATCTTGCTGTGTTAATGAGGTGTGGCAACTTGGACCGATGCATAATATGTGCCTGGCTCTACGTTGACTGACTGAATTGGGATATTGTAGTGTGATTAACTTCGACCAGGTGACTGGTCGATCGTAGTCGCTCATCGACCCAAACCACTAATCTTAAGTGGGTATCAGATTATGTTCAGTGACTTATTATTGCTAATACCCAGAATATTCAGTGGAACTATTATGACCATAAGGTGGTTATATAAAACTAGTAATCATGGATGAAAATAAGTGTACACTTCTTCCCGTTTCAATACACCTAGGAGTGCGTATTTATGCAACAGATGATTTCTGCGTATTAGCATTTAGGACGACTATATCAGCCCGTATCCAGATATTCAGTAAACCTTATTTTGTTTTTGATTATCTACATCACAAAGACACCAAAGCCTATTTAGAAGTTTGAGAGCGATCCGGCCGAAACACGTCCTCCCACAGCACCAGTAAAACAATGCGTATAAATGTTTTATGTATGAGATCCCACAAATCTTACACAAGGAATAGAAAATTTGATGTTCAGATAGTGCTAACAAGTTTGGAGTAGCAACTGCATCTGATGAAATGTATACTATTTCACCGCATTTAAGTCACTATTGATAAGAAAAATAGTGTCCCTGAGGCCATCTTTGAGTCTGATGACACAAAAGTTATTAATCTTCGCAGTTAGCTGTCATGACCGTCACTTTTGTGGCTATGGGTCTGCTTAACTGGCTTGTGTTTAGTACTGGAGACTCCAATCCGGCGACGTAGAAAAAAAGAGTCGTGATGTAGATTTATTTGATCACGTAAGTAAATCAAAATGATGTATGCGTACACTGTCTTTTGTATGATTTGTTTGCATTCAGATTAACCGTCAGGTTTGTATAAATCAAAGTAGTATATACCATTACTTAACTAATCATCTGTTTTTGCTACCCACCACTGCTCACGATCATTACGTAGGCTTTTTATTAACCTACGTTTAAGCTGCCTCCGCTCTTCATCGTGTTCGAAGCTAGAAAGGTTGAGTTTCCGAGCATCTATAAGTTCTGTTGACACCTGAAATCCACTGGTCTTTCCTTACCTTTTGGTTCAATTAATTAGAAGATTTCATTGCTGTTTCCACAGCTTTTTGAGTATCATACCAAGCCACCTCGGGGTGGATATCACATTCAGGGTTGACTAACTAACTTTTTCATCATTGAGTTGAACTCTAAGGTATTTTCTTGGTGTGGCTTTTCCATATCCAGTCAGTAAAAACGTAGAACTTCGTACGTACGTACATCAGTTCGAGTTGCCATACCACATTAGCACAGAGATGCAGTTGTCCATTCAAATCCCTTAGTGGTAGAGGTAGTAAGAGTATAAGCAGTAATCGGAAAGATTAGTGTTTGGAGACGTTATTTAAAGAGTATAATCCAGTGAAATAAATTTGGGAAGAGAAAAAAAAGACAAGAAGGAATAAGGAGATCAAAATTTGGGAGAACACAGAGTGGATGCCCCTGCGCCATGCCCCCAAATGCCCTGGTACGGCCGAGAGTGGGGAGAGTCCGCTCTCCCTCTCGAAATGCTCTCACATCGCCACGCGTATATAGCCTCTGCCAGGGAAGTCCTACTCACTGCCTTCTCGTGGCGGGGGTGTTATTTAGGAAATTGAGAGGACGAAAAGCGAATGTCTGGCGCTTTAACCTAATTCCAAACCAATGGTGCACATGGGCTCCAGTATACTGCGGGAACAAATGGCGTATGAACCAATCGTTGGTCACCGGCTTCCATGGGACTGCATCTCTTTACGACGCTCCACTGCCTTGTGGATCAGGCCCTCAGATCGAAGGCTCGGGGTGTGGCCCCCCAAGAAAACCACCTGCTTCAGTCTGGGCACCCGGGCAGTATCACAGCCCTCACACATATCGAATGAGATTTGTGTGGCGCATATGTATTTGGTGCCTCCTTGTACCAATATCTATGTGTTAAAATAAATAAATAAATAACCTGGGCCATTGCAAACGATTTTGAGCCATATCATTCAGAGTCTCTAACCATCGGTTGCTATCATCTCTCAGTCCCCAACCAAGTAGTCTACACCTATCAATGTGACTCAGTCTACTTGTCAGTGACTTCATGGATTTGTGCCATGTTTTGGTCTGGCCTCCCCTAGCTTTCTTCCAATCTACTCCTATACCACTGAACATCGCACGTCGAGGCAGTCGGTGGTTGGGCATACGTAACACGGGTCCCAGCCATCTCAACTGATGGAAAAAAGACCACCATTGTTGGACGCCGATAAGTATACCTATGTTCTAAAACCGGACGAATGGTGAATATGTGGTCGATGCGGCCGTGACCAGGTCTGAAGCTAGTCTGATTTTCTCGTGTCTGCAGTTCACGATAATTATTGAGGCTTGCATTTTAGATGGTATGTTAGACAAACTAATCCCTCTATGGTTATCACAGGAAGATTTGAATCCTTTCTTATATATTGGGACAATCAGTGATTGTGACCAGTCGTATGGGATTACGTCTGGTTGCCAGTTTCTAGCTGAAATATTAGTCAACCTAATCGCTAATCGAGCAATATTTCGAAGACACCTATGATGAAATACTAGTAACCTACGAATATCCTCTGCCCTTACCGGCCATGTTTCACTGCCATAAAGTAGGACGGAACGACCTGCTGCACAGTAAACCCGTCCTTTGGTTGTAGACGGATATCTCGCCTACTCCATAAATGACGCAATTTGGCGAAAGCTAGTCGAGCCTTCTGTATCCGTGCTGAGACTTCTTCACACACCAGACCACAAGGGCTGATGAGACTCCCAAGATAAGTGAAGCGATCGACACGCTCAATTACTTCACTCCCTATCATTAATTCGGGTGTCGATGCAACCCAATCCTGAAGCAACATTTCGCATTTCGAGGGGGAGAATCGCATCCCGATCATGCCTGCATTGTTGCTTAGAGTGGTCAGAAGACTCTGCATTTTGTCAGCGTCTTCACCAAATAGAACTATGTCATCGGTATATTCCAAGTCAACAAGTGAACCTCCCGGTAGAAGTTCAACCCCTGTAAATTTAGATGAGGAAAGTGTTATCTCTAAAAGTACGTCAATGACAAAGTTGAACAAGAATGGAGAGAGTGGACAGCTCTGACGAACACCACTCGAGGTAATCAATTCTGATGACAGTTCGCCATAAGCTCTCACTCGACCAGTTGTGTTCGAGTAGAGAGCCTTTACAAGGTTAATGTACTTCCTTGGTACTCCTTTCAGTGACAAACACTGCCATAGAACCTCACGATCGACAGAGTCGAATGCCGCCTTAAGGTCAAGAAATACTACGATTGTGGGGCGTCTGAATGATTGTCTGTGTTCTAGAACCTGACGTAGTGAGAATACTTGGTCTATAAAGTCACGTCCAGGTCGAAAACCGGCCTGGTTTTTTCTAGTCTGTTCTTCACGAGCTTTGGTTAGGCGTTTAAGTATTATTGAAGCTAATATTTTAGACACTATATTAGTCAAACTGATTCCTCTGTGATTGTCACAAGAGGACTTTTGTCCTTTCTTATAGACTGGCACAATCAGTGATTGAGACCAGTCAGATGGGATTACGTCCAGTTCCCAAATTCTACCTAAGACCTCAGTTAATCTCACTGCTAATACTGGATCACCATCCTTAAAAATCTCAGGAGTAAACCTGTCAGGGCCTGCTACTCTCTGTCGCTTCAGATTTCCTATGGCTTTTTCAACTTCGTAAAGAGTCGGAGGACCTACATTAACTTGCCATTCAGGTTGACTGGAGATCGTGGGAAACCGAAGTGTGGCTGAAGGCCAGTTGAACTGATCCCTAAAGTGTTCTGCCCATCGATCCAATCTCCTGGATTGAGAATGTATAGTATGTTCATCTTTTTCCGAGATAGATTCGCCTACAGTTGGGTTCCTAATACCGGTTTACTTAACAAGTCTGAACAGTTGTCTGCTGTTGCCTATTGCCGCTGCCTTTTCCATCTCTTTTGCTTTCGCTACTCACCACTGTTCACGATCATTGCGTAGAATTCTTGTCAGCTTGCGCTTAAGCAGACTCCGCTCTTCGTTATGTTCAGATCCAGATGGAATGAGTTTTCGAGCATCTATCAGTGCGGTAGATGCTGTTGAGACCCAGTGTTGCTCCCTCACCTTGTGGTTTACCGTAGTAGCAGATATCACTGCTGTTTCCACAGTTTTTCGGATGTCATTCCATGCTGCCTCAGGGTGGACATCACTTACATGGCTGCCTAACTGTGTTCCTAGTTGTTCCTGAAATATACTCTTAGCTTGACTATCATTAAGTAGGACCCTAAGAGGTTTCCCTGAAGCGTTTTTCGTACGTCCAGTGAGACGCAGACAAATATCCATATCCACTAATGCTCAAACAAATACGTGCTCGAACTACAGTATAATCCGTGTATAAACATGTTTTCCAGAATGAACGACAGTCTTCTATCGAGCCCCTTCAACGATGGTTAATGACAATGTAGTCTGAGTCAGTTGTGGAGGTCGCCACGTCAGACGATGTTTTCCTTATGTTTAATGTTGGTGTTTGGCGGAAGTAGACGGTTGTCTGCCTATATTTGTAGCAGACGGTCGTCATTATCTATTCACTGAGCCTCAACACCGTAGGATCCGCTTATGTGCCCCTCAGTTTGGTCTATTTTACCTACTTGAGCATTAAAATCACCTGACAGTATTGCTACATCAGAGCGTTTAGGTTTTTGAAAGAGGTTTAACAACTCCCTATAAAATTTATCTTTAACTTTATCCGAGCTGCAGTCAGCGTGAGCGTAGGCAAAGACAACGAAAAAGCAACAGCTTGTGCCCTTGTGTTTCCGAGTTCTTACTGTCCCGTTTAGTCGGACAGCACAAAAGCAACTGTGTATTGGAATTTTGTCTAACAGCCTGTTATAATTTAGAACTTAATGTTATACCTACACTAACGAGGCCGCGAGAAGTAGCAGCGGGGACTTCAGATATTCGAAGAGTAAATCGTGTCCGTTCTTTATAGTGGCAAGTTGAGGTCAAATGAATGACTATATTTGGACCCTGTATGCGCGTTTCGGAGACATAGTGTACGTCAGTGATTGGATATTTAGAGTCTTAACTAAGAAAGCTTATTGTCTTATCTGACACAACGTTCGGACACTAAAAGCTCCAACATGTAGTTCGGGGCCTGGTTTCAGGAGACCAAGAATAACACCTCGTGAACTCGAATCATTAACATTGGTGGCGCATGGCGATAAAGATAATTGAGGAGGGTTAGTCGTGAGGATGAAAGAATTTTCATGAGGTGTGGGAGGGATTCGATCACGAACAAGATTATCTCGGGTGCTGATAAAGGTATGGGAGCGGTTTCTCACGTCGTGGAAGGATATTTCCTCTTGAGGAACTTGAAAAATAAGCTAAATTAGTGGTGGTCTTGGCGACCTGGGTGAGTGACTGCAGAGTCCAAAGGACAATTGCTTGAGGCCGGTTGCGCATGGCCTTCTTATGGGACGTTTTTGATGTGTTATTTCCGCTCTTCAAAAGGCCTTATAATCGGAGACAGAAATCCATCGTGTAAGGTGAGATGTGACATTTTCAGGGTCGACCACTCCTAACCCCTTCCTTCTTTTGTGAGAAGGCAGTATCGACGAAAGGTTCTGGTTGTTCAAGGAAAACAACTCACTGCTGTCACACACCTCTACAGTCAGCAGTACGACTTTGCCCTCGGGCCTTGGGTTGCCGCTTTTCATCTTACCGTTCTCCAACTGACCAGCATGGGATAGTAGGACTTAAACGAACAATTATTCCGACCAATATGGCTCGATAGAGTCATCACAGTGGACAAGCTCGACCACCAACTCATGGTAGCAGTGCAGTGAAGGAGAACACAGGTGAGGACAACCGAATGATATTAAGCACAAAACTACAGAGTTATTTGGTAAAATAGAAAAACCATACTATAATACTTAATTTGCAAAATGTTCAATAATTGTCTCAAAATTCGTTGTTCTTGCATTTCCATACCACAGCAGCAGCTGTCGTGTGTGAGAATAGTCTACAACAAATGTCAAGACATTCAAACCAAAATATAGCATCAGTCCATTAAGTCATGTTAATAGGTACAGACTACCTGGTTGCGGTCCGCGTGATTATCGCAACCAATGGTTAGGGACTTTGAATGACGTGGCTCAAAATCGTTTGCAGTGGCGCAGGTGCATCCATTATTTATCTTCCCTCGAATCCTGAGATTTTGAATTCCCCAAATTTTTTTATTGCACTGATTTATATTTTCTTCTCTTATCGTATCTTTTATCCCGAATCGTTTTTATTAGCACTGATACTGATACTACCTCTACTATTCTGAGACTTGACCTAATCATTCCATCTCTCTGTGTTTATGGAGTATGGCAAGTTGAACCTATGTACATACGTACGGGTTCTACTTTGTGAATGACCGACCGTCTAACAGTTCAACTGGCTTATGGTTACCCTCTACCACCAATAAACCTTCATGGCACATTGACGGAAGTCCCTCAACTATTGGTGAATTTGAGAATCCTAAAGGTAGTCTAAAACTATGGATAACAAACTGTCCTTATGGATTGACGCAAAAGGTGATGAAGGAATGTGATGCAGTTTTAACTGTTAAACTGACAGAGATATTAGGTAGAATCTGAAATCTGAACTCAATCCCATCTAAGTGATCTCAATCGTTGATCGTTCCAGTTTCTAAGAAAGGAAAAGGAAGGGACATCAGCTCTATGAGATATCACAATTCTTCTATATGATGACTCAGGAGAGATTTCAAATGTTCTAAGTGCTTTTCTTATGATTAATGTTGTTTTTAGTAAACGTTAGGTGTATGACTGAAGAGTTCAAGCTGTTTTGTTGTTACACTGCATTCCCCTTGTCAAGTTTTTCTCAACCATTACTGCTATCATTTTTGGTCCATCACTCTTCATTTCTTTTTTTGACTTCCTGTCACTTCACGAATAGGAAGTAGCAAATTGAATCAATAGACATTTGCGCTAGATTGTGTCTTATTTATTTGTGTTCTCGTTCAAGAACTTTTTTACACTTAGTATGAGTCAAACTAGTAATGTCTGTAGTCGAGTTCGATAAGACTGTGTATCATTTTCATTTTCACCTTTTTCTTAGTGATGAAGAAAGATGGTTTCGTAAGTCTCAACTTGAAAAAGGTGACTTTCGTGCTTGGTATTTCGTCCCAGTTAATCCAACTGGTATTAATCGCTCATTTGAAAGACTCATGAAAGATCAAGAGGCTGGCCAACTAGTTAGTCGTTGATTATAAAACTCACTTCAGACTAATACTTTGTATTATCTTTCATCTAAATGGAGTTTGTTTTAATCCTAGATTAAATGTTATGAAAAACTTCTGTTATTCATTCATTAATAAAAAATTTAATGTATTTACATGTTTTTGACAATTAGTTCCTAATATCAAGTTCAAACTGGATAACTAATCTTTGATTAAAACGGTTTTTATTGTCACCGAGAATTCGGAGAATCATTTTGAGTTATAATAGTCCAACTAATCGTCAAAGTTTTGTCTTTCAGATATATATTAAAGCAGGATAATCTCATCTTTATAAAGACTTTTCAGTTGGTAATCATTTTAACACTAAAAAAGATGGTAAATGCAGTTCAACCATCTTGGAGCCTGACACAGACTGGTTGTGGTTCTGGAAGAAATATGTATTTAAAAAGTAAAAAGTGTGTATATGCTACTGTGTTGTAGTGACTACACGATTTAGAGTAAATACTAATACGAGCACGTCGATTATATTAACTATTAATAAGATGTTTCTTTTTTATTGCGTAATGCATTATTTCGAATTGAATTTAAGTACATGCTTTCAGTTTATAAATATTTACCACCATTTGGTAATCAGTTCGCAAGCAACTAATATTACATTTGTAGTAAAAACCATCTCAATGTTTACTAGAATCTCTCGTATAAACCACAGCTTTATGATCTGTTAAATATATATGGCTTCTTCGTCAACTAAGGGGTAGCAGATCTATGTGTTATAAGTTGTTTCACTCCTGAAGACAACAGCCATCGTGATATTTTTAATTGTTTCTTGGTCTGATGGTCCTAATTTAGGAGTCTGAGGATTAAAGAGAGCCAGAACAAAGATTGGTGCAGAATAATATGAATTCATTTTATTTCGTTAGTTTCTCATCAACTGCGTACAACTTAAAATATTTAAAAATCAATGTTATTGCAGATATTGACCTTCTTATACATACGAGGGCGATTCAAGATGAATATATGCATTATGGTGTAGCGAAGATTTCAATAGAGTTAATAAGGTCATGAAAATTCTTTGTTTCGGATAGAAAAAGTTTGAGACGGAAAGTTCCAGAACATTGAAATAGTGATTAGAACTCATGGAGTTAACAAACATTAGGTGATTGTGTAATGAAGCAACTGAAAGCAGATTAATGGTAATAAAGAAAGAACATGAATTAAAGAAAAATGACAATGATGTAGTTTAAGATTTTGAAAGAGTTGAAATGATGAATGACGTAATAAATAAAAAGGGTTTAATGTTACCAGACAAAGAAAGATTTATTAGTCTCTTTTTGGATACACAGATCTGGTTTTAGACATTTGATTGCTATCGCTTCAGCAAATTTCAAAAGATTGGAGTTTGATTGTTTGTTAGTCACCTTGAAAGACTTTAGTGCATCGACGTGATCTCCTGTGTCAAGGAGATGTCTTTCGATGGCACTGCTGAATGCTTCTAATCCATTTGATCTTAAACTTTCCGGAATATGTTCTTTGAATCAGACGTAGGCTCTCCTTTCTGTCCTACCAATGTAACTGTTGTGGCAGATGCATGTAAATTTGTATACACAGTTGGTGGTTACATGAAAGGGACACCTATCGACCTTTGATTGTGTTATTCGAATTGTTGGGTGGCTACTGAGTGAACAGTTGAATATAATAGTGGACTATATTTTATATTAAATTACACTAACCCCAGTTTTTTTCAAAATTGTATTGTAACTTGGCTACCATGCACAAAAACTTTACGGCCTAAGAACTGTACTTTTATTTATTTATTTATTAGGATTTTGTATCTCGGTAAATTTCATCAATTAGAAATGCTGAATCAAGAGAGGTGGCGAAACTCTAATTTAGGGACGAGCCAATCAGAAGCGTTTGAGCAATTTCAATTATTAGCCAATCAGAAGACAGTATAAAGTGAAAATATATTATAAGAAAGTAATGAATTACAGTGGATATTCTTCTTTTACATGATTTAAAAACTTGGTAAGGTTTGATAAAGATTCAGAAGTTCTGAATTCATAATGCATATGGTATAGAAACTCGTCCATAGGGTTAGGGTTGTAACCTCTCAATAAACACCTCTTCTCTAAAATCCGTTGTAAACCGATCGTATGTTAGCATCACGTGTTGAACTTGGCTCCGTGAACTTGAAATCGCTCAAACGCTTCTGATTCGCTCGTCCCTAAATTAGAATCTCGCCACCCTAACCCTATGGACGAGTTTCTATACCATATGCATTATGAATTTAGAACCTCTGAATCTTTATCAAACCTTAACAAGTTTTTAAATCATGTAAAAGAAGAATATCCACTGTAATTCATTACTTAAAATATATTTTCACTTTATACTAACTGTCTTCTGATTGGCTAATAATTGTCAAGGTCATTTAAGATTCGTTCAAAGGTCGTCCCTAAATTAGAGTCTCGCCAAAAAAGCTATTCCATTCATAAGACAAACATGAATATGTTTTCGAATATTTAAGTAATTATCTCGAACATCTGAGAAAAACCACTCATATTTACATCCTTCTTATGTTCGCTTTGATATATGGAATGACTCACTGAATCTTTAGTAGTTTTTATGCTCATGAAATGTTAACTAATTTGTTTGTTATTTACTGTTGTGGACGTATCGTCATGATTTTCACTATTTCAGAATTTTATGCTTAACTTATCTGATTTAGAATAATAATGATAAAACTGGGTAAGATCAAATTTTTTATTCTTGTACTCCGTTGCACGATATTTTTAAGTCATGGCACTTAGAAATCTTTTTCAATAAGATTTCAGAGTTATACAATTCTGGAAAATACCACTTAAAACCTTTGGTTTAGATTGTTTCCAGTTTCTGTGTAAGTCCTATGGAGATTAATTTTTTTTAACAGTAGTGATGGAGTTACAGTTGTGAGAGGTAAACGTTCACATGTTATACTATTGGTAGATATTTTAAGAAGTATCATATGGTTAACAATTTTTTACCTCCACTTTTGCTATATGAAGCATCCACGAGCTGCAGATTATTATTATTTTTATTCAAAATAGATGTAACAAGATCTGAAGCAATTTTCTAACGTTTTTGCAAGCAGCTTCACCGACGTTTGCATTATTATTATTAATTAATTAAAAAAACTAACCATTGAATTCCGTATGTTTACATACGGAACAATCTTGATCGACAACCTTTATGGAACAAATAGGATCACTTCTAATTTACTGAATTTAGAAACAGTAAAAACTAAAAAACAGACTAAAGGAAATGAAGTCTCGAATCTTGTTTTTAGAGAGTAATTTATTGATGAACAAGTGTATGTGTCTTTACATTACAGATACTTAACTAGTTAATAATAACATTTCAACGGAGTCTCGATCTTATTTCCAATAGGCACCATTTTTCTTAAATTCAGTACAGTATGTTTGAAATATAACAAATACTATAGACTACTTAAGGATTTAAACCAGGAGAAAAACAGTTTGTCTTTCGTTGGTTTTTTCTCAAATCGTATCAGTTCATAGTTAAAAATATATTTACCTTACCCAAATGCCTGGAACATTGTTGTTAAGGAAAATATTTCATGGTTTAGTTTTTAAAAAGCAGATCATATCTGTATCATAATTTAACACCGGTCTTTATCAATGAAAGCCTCGAAACATATGGGTGTAGAACTCTCGCTTTCGGAACTGTGACCAGCATATCAGAGAATAAATGTCAGTAGAAATAGACGAATTATTTGCAATTAGAAGTGACAACTGTTGCTTATTACGGATAAAATGTGCAGTGTGCAATTGTTTAGGTCCACACACTAAACATTCCGAGGTGACTTCAGTGCACTTACCTAGCAAACTGTTACTTTTCTCAATAATTTCTATGTTACTCATAGGTGACTTAAAGTTTGGTTAGGTTCTTGAGACTGCCGTCTTCACCAGCCGGCATTTATCGAAGTTCAAAACTTCGTCGTGCATTCTAGTTTAGTTGGAGACATGCCATAAAATCAGCTAACTTGGTTTGGAATTTCATTTTTGATTATGTAACTGCTCATGATTATTGTTGAAATGGTACGAATATTTTCGATCACGTGAATGTGTTTTTATTTTTATAGAATCCCCATTGTTGGATTATTACAAAAGCCAACAGGGATTATTTCTTAAGATTAATCTGTTAGTAGTCCAAGGCAAAAAAATGTAATTCCAGGTAACCGGATCTACTTATGGAGTTGGTTCATAATCATGCGTTTTCTGGTGTAGGCGGGATCTTTTTTTTCACTTGAAATCTAGTATTTTTAGTGTCTTAAAACCCCATACAAATAGAGTTTTATTCTTTCTACATGTTTATTTCTACGTTTCTATTTGTTAGATTTCGGAAAACACTCAAAATTAAAAATGCTTAGATGATTAACTATCACCACTAGTTTATCTAGCATTGGAGTGGCGAAATCATGTTGTAAGTTAGCTATCTAAAAATTTTAGCGGAACAATGTTTTATGGTTTTAAAATCTCAGATGCATTTTTTATTATGGCAGCATACATGACTCGGAAACACGGTAGGTTCCACATGACAACAAAGGAAGAATCCAATAGTAATTATTCTAAATGATATTTCTATGATAAGATCCTCATGAAGTGTGGCTAAACAAAATACTTGGAAAAAATGGGATAGTTTATAATTTAGGAAGGAAGAGTGTATTTGTAAAATTTCAGCGAATGAATTCGAGGTAAATCCAACGTTTCCACCACTATTTTGTCTATATCCAGATTCTTGGAGTTGTTTCCAATCTCGTACAGGTGGGTACAGACTACCTGGTTGCTGTCCGCGTGATTATCGCAACCAATGGTTAGGGACTTTGAATGACGTGGCTCAAAATCGTTTGCAGTGGCGCAGGTGCATCCATTATTTATCTTCCCTCGAATCCTGAGATTTTGAATTCCCCAAATTTTTTTATTGCACTGATTTATATTTTCTTCTCTTATCGTATCTTTTATCCCGAATCGTTTTTATTAGCACTGATACTGATACTACCTCTACTATTCTGAGACTTGACCTAATCATTCCATCTCTCTGTGTTTATGGAGTATGGCAAGTTGAACCTATGTACATACGTACGGGTTCTACTTTGTGAATGACCGACCGTCTAACAGTTCAACTGGCTTATGGTTACCCTCTACCACCAATAAACCTTCATGGCACATTGACGGAAGTCCCTCAACTATTGGTGAATTTGAGAATCCTAAAGGTAGTCTAAAACTATGGATAACAAACTGTCCTTATGGATTGACGCAAAAGGTGATGAAGGAATGTGATGCAGTTTTAACTGTTAAACTGACAGAGATATTAGGTAGAATCTGAAATCTGAACTCAATCCCATCTAAGTGATCTCAATCGTTGATCGTTCCAGTTTCTAAGAAAGGAAAAATACTGTTGTAACTTTCACGGAGGTTTTAGTTTGACTAAAGTAAATATTAACTTCCATGACCATCGGACACCTAGCTAGTGTCTGCGAAGAGTGAATGTGGGAAAACCAGGATTGTTTGGGACCTGGACGTGGTTGTATTAACCAAATATTCATCCTTCTTCAGGTTTTAGAAAAGTAAATATACTGACTTCGGAATATTGTTCCACTCTTTATCTTCCTCTCGATCTTGAATTCCAGTATTCATTAATACATTCATATATTTTTTGAGGGAATACTTCAAGGATTTTTTTAAAGGTTTTTCAAACAATCAACAAATATCATACACATAGTTCATTTTATCATTTCGAAAAGAGCAAGAACAAAAATTCTAGCAGTATAGGATAAATTCATGTAAGTAATTTAAACCCATTATGTAATTATAATTTTAAATATCACAAGTTATAAGTAGCTGACGAGGACTTACAAAGTAAAAATGAATCCATGCTATTCTCCTAGAATCTTTATTCTTACTCTTTTTAAAATCAACAAATAATCTTGAGGTTTAACAGTTAATAATGTAACCTTTTAACTTCATATTTCACATATTCTAAGATGTATGTAAATAAATGAAACACATTGGAAATAGAATGCTTTACTTGTAATAATTCACATTATTGTAGTACATTTCTCCTGAAAGACTACCAATTACTTTTATACATTTTTAAAATTACAAAAATAATTATTTTTATTAATAACTAAAATCTTATTCATTTAAATAGTTCCATGCAATTACAAAACATATTAGAACATGATAGTCTTTAGAATAAACTTCCATTTGTTGAGAACAAAATTGAAGATATTTTCGTAGTGATAGTAAATAAAGAATTCAAATCATAATAAATGGATTACAAACATAAGTACTTACTTTAGATGGTAACTAATAAATTGTGATAAAAATATATTAAATATTGAGATGGTGGAGAAGATTTGTAGCTCAGGTGGATGATTTTGATGGAGTTTTGTTCTCTGAGCTGAATGGTTTGGTCGTGGAGCTTTCATCGTTATTCTGAACGACATCATCAGCACAAACTTCAGATAGAAGTGAAGTGTTCGAATTTCTCCATATGCGTTTCACAGCGTGTTCTAATTTTAAGGTCAATAAGAACCAATCAACGTCGAGGTGTACAGAACACACTGTGAAACGCATATGGAGAAATTCGAACACTTCACTTCTATCTGAAGTTTGTGCTGATGATGTCGTTCAGAAGAACGATGAAAGCTCTACGACCATACCATTCAGCTCAGAGAACAAAACTCCATCAAAATATATTAAATACAATAGACAATACAATTTTACGTTTTACATATATAGTATGAAAAAACATGGCATACATTTACACTTCAGTTTTATAAGGTTAATAACCTATCTTTGTAGTAATGTAAGATGAATAAGTCCAGTACCATTCATAGTCGTTGTTTAAATAATGTAAAAAGTGTTTAGTGTCATTTCTCAGAAAGAAATTGTGGATGGGTACTGCTGAGTATTTCGACAATAGGACAAAACGACCGTTCAGTGCTTCCAGGTTTTCCATGGTAGTCTAGCTTCAACTGACTCATGATCTCAAATACTAGAATTATTGTTTATTTAAGTTAAATAGAACTTATAGAATACCATAGAGTATAAATGACAGAAATAGTTTTTTGGTAAAATAAGTATACCAAAAAACTAAGTTACTGTACAATGAAAATTTAGTTTGAAATAATCAACTTACGCTGATTTTCATCTGATCTAAGCATTTCATGCAGTTGCTTCCCTTAACGAGTTTTATAATTCAAGCCAGAACAATAAGTGAAGTAGAATCATATGAATTCGTAATTTCTCATCAGCCGCTTACAACTATATACGTGTTCATATATAACATAGAATGAATCAATCAAAATTAATGACGGAAGGAATTCGAGTAACAAAGATTATAAGTTATGACCTTATTAAATCTGTTCACAAGAAGTTGTAAAGAAGAATATTCTTTTCGATAAATTCTCTTCAGGTTCTACAATTATATATCCAAATTATTAATCCGAAAAATGGCCAAGTTAAGGGTGAAGTACATCGTTTAGAGCATGTGAATTTAGGATTGTGATAAACAAAATACAATAAAATTGTTAATGTTAATATGACTCATATAAAATGTTAACTTGAATCTGCGTATATGTTAAATGAAATTTTAAGATCCATGATCAGAATAAATATGGGTCAAATAGGGTGAGAGAGAAATAATAGTGCAATTACAATTCGATCAAATAAGTAAGACGTAATACAGAGGGATGAATGCAAAGTGAATGAATCATGTATAGGGAGATTAATGATGATTAACCAATAATAATAATAATAATAATAATAATAATAATAATAATAATAATAATAATAATAATAATAATAATAATACAAAGATTTATGAATAAAGATAACAGGGACAATTACAATTGACTGTGAAAGGTCATAGTCAAATTGGGTCATTCAATAGTTAAGATTACGATTGATTAATTGGCCTTGATGTTGGCCAGGGGAGGAGGAGTGGCTGAACATATTTCTTCTGTACGCATAGCTCCGGTTTCTTCATTCGGATGGCTACTGCTTCAGCCGTTTGAAGGACTTTCAGTCTGACCAGTTTTGGCAAAAAATTACTTACCTTATAAATAATTGAAAAAGATTGGTTTATACTGGCACTATGACCGGTTTGTACTAAATGGGCCAATATTGAGCTGTTCACCTTCTTCATCAAACCTTTGTTTAACCACGCTGGAAGGTGTTCACGAGCACGAAAATGTAAATTTCTAGAACTTCGACCAATATAACTCGCTCCACAGGAGCAGTTGAACTGATAAATACAAAATGATGTGGTCATTCTAGGTAATTCATCTTTTAGCTTCGGTGTAACCATTGGGCGCGTAGAAAATACTAATCGCAGTTCTCCGGCGTTAAACGACTTTTGTATTGTCGTACGTAGTCTCTGAGTTAGTATTTCGCTAGCCGCATCCCCTCTGAATTGTAGACGCATGAACAAGGATTTCTTCTTCACTGTTTGTATTTCGCCTACCTTCGCCTTCGTGACCATATATTTAATTATAAACTTTCTAGGGTAGCCGTTCTCCCTGAGAGTATTATGCAAGGTGGTAAGCTCTTGTTCAACTATATCAGCAGAACATATAGTGCGAATACGGTAGCTAAGGTTTTTGATCAAATTTCGTTTGTACTGTAGAGGTACAAAGCTCAGGAAATTCGTATACTGCCCAGTCCAAGTACTTTTTCTGTTTATATTTTTTTTTAACGATCCATCCACTTTCCTAGTCAAGAGAACGTTTTTTTTTGCCAAAACTGGTCAGACTGAAAGTCCTGCAAACGGCTGAAGCAGTAGCCATCAGAATGAAGAAACCGGAGCTATGCGTACAGAAGAAATATGTTCAGCCACTCCTCCTCCCCTGGCCAACATCAAGGCCAATTAATCAATCGTAATCTTAACTATTGAATGACCCAATTTGACTATGACCTTTCTTAGTCAATTGTAATTGTCCCTGTTATCTTTATTCATAAATCTTTGTATTATTATTATTATTATTATTATTATTATTATTATTATTATTATTATTATTATTATTATTATTGGTTAAACATCATTAATCTCCCTATACATGATTCATTCACTTTGCATTCATCCCTCTGTATTACGTCTTACTTATTTGATCGAATTGTAATTGCACTATTATTTCTCTCTCACCCTATTTGACCCATATTTATTCTGATCATGGATCTTAAAATTTCATTTAACATATACACAGATTCAAGTTAACATTTTATATTAGTCATATTAACATTAACAATTTTATTGTATTTTGTTTATCACAATCCCAAATTCACATGCTCTAAACGATGTACTTTACCCTTAACTTGGCCATTTTTCGGATTAATAATTTGGATATATAATTGTAGAACCTGAAGAGAATTTATCGAAAAGAATATTCTTCGTTCAAATATTAGTCTTTTAAGTTGTAAAGAATTCAAAAACACAGGATGGGAATGAGACAGTGATCAAATCAAATCCGGAAATAGATAAGATTGATTACATGGTAGTTAATGTAATTATATTTTTCATAATGCACAATGCAAACAGCAATAGTAGTCGTAATAAACTACTGTATTTATCATTTATGTTATGCTTCAAATCATAGTAAAACTGAATGATGGAAAACTCTCCGAAAAAAATTTTAACTAATAATATGCTTTAATTTCAGTGTCCAATCACAAAAGATTAAGACTAAATTCCATTTGAATACTGAAATGTTTTCATTATCTAGTAATTGCTAAATGAATTATCCAATAATTTAGCTATCAAATGATGAAAGTTTAATCCATTTTTAAAATATAATAGATAAAATATCTTGATATATATATCTTAGTATTCATTTGTCACATATGTCACTTAACAAATTATATTTCACTAAGAAGACAGAAAAAAAATGGACTTTCACTTTCAACAAACATTTATCTTGGATACTCAAAGTTCACTAACTTGAATGTATATGTATCTTAAATAAACGCTAATCAATCATTTAAAATGTAAAACAATATGTTAATAGTTCCAATATTGTTGTAAATATCAAAAATACTTAGTTTCTAATGTTGACGTGGTGTTTTACCCAAAAGTAATCAAGTAACAATGAAAAAGATGTTTTTCTGCAAGAAGTTGAAAAATCAGTTACGCCCCAGTTTAGTCGTAAAACAGTTGATTTTTAGTAGCTCTATATTTGACTACAGTTAGATAGTTTCTGTTTGTTATCGAAATATACATTTCGCCAGTTCTCGCATATAATTATCGACTTAACTCGCTTTACTGAATAACGAAATTAAATAAGTCAAATACGAGAATGGAGTTTGAATACTTATGTTTCATACAATAATTAATCGGAACAGACAGTCAGAGAATTACAGCGAAGGAAGCACAGAGGTGAAAGTGAAGCAAAACGAAAGGACGCACAGTGGAGAAGGTGAGTTAACCAATTCAATTTAACCAAGTGTGAATCATTATTTATACTCAGAGAAAAATCAGTTACAGACATGTGATGTGTAAGATAAGTAATACATGCACACATGATTATATAAAAGACAGTCAGGATGAATAAGCAATAAATGACAAGGTCAAAATGTAACTCGAGAAGAATAGTTGAATTGGTTTGATCAGAAGCTCGAATAAGTTATAATGGTTCAACATAATATCAGCCACTATAGATTAATTCAAATGATTTCACTAATGATTAACTTTATTAATTAATTTTAGAGATAAGCATTCAGTAAACTGGCATAAAAGTTAATGTGATATAATCAATAATATGCGTAAATAATTGAAGATTAAATAGAAAAGTGCAATTTATCCGTATGGTATAATACTATACCATAAATGATTACATCATAAGATAATATTCAATAGTTCATATTTATTCATTCAATATATATATATTAACACATTAATTACCCATTTTAAACTTTCCTCTGGATCTACTACTGTTTATTTTATACATTAGAACAAAGAATAAATAAACGAATTCCTACATAAAGACACATGAAAATTCGATTATTATCAATTATAACAATCATTATACAATGCATTCCATCCATCTTATCAGCTACGTCGAGTAATCAAAAAGAAAGTTCATCATCTTATTATTATGTGGTACGTTCACCAAAAATTGAAAAACGATCATATACAGAAGATGAAGCATTAACACATCAGAAAGAAAAAACAAAAATTGATACTGCTATTCAAACATATACAAAAACAACAAATACATCCTCTTCACTTTTGTCTCCAGCATCATTATCAATAACATCATCATCATCATCATCTTATGGTAATAATGTGAAAAAGAATAATGGTGCATACAGTGTTAAACCTAATGTAACTATGAATGCAGAAAGTATATATCAAGATAAAAATTCATTGAAATATGTGAAAACTGTAAAAAAACGTCGAGAAATCAGTGAAGTTATTAAACATATACCAAAATCGACATATAATCAACAATCGAATAAATATACTGATCAGAATAAGAAAACTAATAATTATAATGATAAAAAGGAAACAAAGAATTACAATAATGTTAAGAAGAAATACACATATTCTGATAGTAGTAGTAGTAGTAAAAGTAATGACAACAATCATCACAATGATAAAAACTACAATAATAATAATAATTATAACGGTAATAATAATAACTACAACGGTAATGACAATTACAATAACAATCACAATAATTACAATGGTAATAGTAACGATCGTTACAATAATGGCAATAACTACAATGGCAATGACAATTACAATAACAATGACAATAATTACAATGGTAATAAAAACAATTATTACAATAATGGCAATAACTACAACAGTAATGGCAATGATGGTAACAATAACGACTACTATTCACATGATTACATCAAAAACACTGGCAGCTACAATAATGATGTAAAATATAATGCTGAAAATTACAATCGTGATTATACACGCAATGTTTATATATCTGACAATAATGACCGTAGGAATAATCGAAATTCCAATAGAAATTACGTGATTAAAAATACCAAATTTAACAATTATGCCAACAGATATAATGGTAGGCGAAGAAATAATAAAAGATATAATAATAATAATAATAATTACAACAAAGCCTATAATAACCAAAGACGTTATAATGAAAATCATAATATCGGGAATAATAACAATTACAATCGTAACGGTAATCAAAACTATCAGAATGGTTATCGTGCTTACAAGTACAACTATAATGGTAATAATAATAATGACCGGAATAATTTCGATGACAAATCTAATTACAATTACAATAATGATCGTAATAACCACAATAACAGACAGATTAATCAAAATGTCAATTATAATATCAATAACAATGACGCTTACAATGGATATGATAATTACAAAACCAACAATCATCCTGAACGTAATATACCCTATCAAAATAACAATAAATATAATAACATTGAAAATAATGTGAATAATGATAATAGTAATAATAATTATCATGATATGTACAATACTAAAGATTATGAAACTAACAGAAATCCTGTTAATTATGGTAGTAGTCATATTAGAAGTAAATTAGGTAAACCAGATTATTCTACTCCTGCAGAAAGAAATAATGAACAAAATTATCCATCAACGCCAAATACAGCGAATGAACAATTAAATAATCAAGAAAGTAATCAATATGGGAAAGAAAAAGAGAAAGATACAGATTTTAATCCATTAGGACAAGATGATAATCCCATGTCCGGTTTAAATCCTTTTGGTGGTTTGTTCAGTTTAGGACAAATGGGAAATGGAGGGTCAGGTTTTTAAATTTTATGCTAACTAAATGATTAACAATTACTCAAATTCATGGATATATTGTGACAAAAATATGTTTTATTTTTAAAATATCTTTCTTCAACTGATATCATATAAACAGTTAATAAAAAGCTTATTTATTAAGCTAGATTTTTCCAGTCAAAATGATTTAATATTTGTAATTGAATGTCATGTTTGTATGTTTATCATGTTTTTTTTTCTAAGATCTGAAATAGAAGTATGAACTGATTTGATGATTTGAACACTTTTCTCTTAATTCATTCATCATTGATTCATAATTATGAAAATGAATTTTAAATGATAAGTGATAAGAAACCACCCAAATTTATGTTTGGTCTTTTGAACGCTTATGAAGAATATACATATTACTTACTTACGCCTGTTACTCCTCGTGAAGGAGCATAGGCCGCTCACCAGCATTCTCCATCCAACCCTGTCTTGGGCAATCCTTTCTAGCTCCGTCCAGTTGTAATTCATCCTTTTCATATCTGCTTCTATTATCCGACGCAATGTGTTCTTTGGCCTTCCTCTTTTTCGCTTCCCTTTAGGATTCCAAGTTAGGGCTTGCCTCGTGATGCAGTTTGACGATTTGCGTAATGTATGTCCTATCCATTTCCATCGTCTTTTCCTAATTTCTTCTTCAGCTGGAAGTTGGTTTGTTCTCTCCCACAGAAGGCTATTGCTGATGGTATCCGGCCAATGGATGTTGAGTATCTTGCGTAGACAGCTATTTATAAATACTTGTACCTTCTTGATGGTGGTTGTTGTAGTTTTCCAAGTTTCAGCTCCATACAGTAGAACTGCCTTGACGTTCGTATTGAAGATTCTTACTTTGATATTGGTTGTATATTCAAACAATTCAATATACATATATAGCCGAAAAAATAATTACTATTTGAACATCTATGCCTGTCAACCCTCGTAGAACAACACACGTCGCCAAACAGCAAACTCTAACTTATCCTGTCCTGGGCATTTCTTTCTAGTCTCTTTCAAGTGCTATTCGTTCTTTTGAGATCTGCCTCCGATCCCCAGTAACATGTGTTTTTAGCCTTATTCTTTGAAGATTTCAAGCTGGGACTTGCCTGGTGATGAAGTGATTTCCGGTGATTTCCTCAATGTATCTTCTATCCACTTCCATCGTCTTTTCATAATTTCCTATTCAACTGAAAGCTGATTTGTTCTCCACCACAGTAGGTTGTTGTTGATGGTATCTGACTAACAGACATTAAGTATGTTGCATAGACAACTGTCTATAAATGCCTGTACCTTCTTGATGGTGGTTGTAGTAGCTCAGAAAGTTTCGCCCTAGTACAATAAAACTGTCTTGATGTTTGTATTGAAAATTGTGACTTTGATGTTGGCAGACAGTTGCTTTGAGTTACAGATGCTTTTCAATTGTAGGAACATTTTTCTTGTTTGGCCAATCCATCGCCTCACTTCTATATCAGATCCAACTGATTTATCAGTGATAATGCCCGGGTACACAAATCTCCCTATCTCTTCCATAGATTTTCCATCAAGTCTGATTGTGCGCCGTATTTCAGGATCTTGGTTTTTATCTTGTGCGTTCAAGCCTACTGATGCATAGGCTGCTACTACGCTGACTGTCTTCACCAGCATTTGTTGGTGTGTATGGCATGGAAGAGCTAGGCGATGTATGAAGTCCAAATCGTCTAGCTGCATTCATGCTGTCCATTTTATTCTATGCTTACCCTCAAATGTCGAGGTCCTCATGATTCAGTCAACCACCAGGAGAAATAGAAAGGGTGAGTGTAAGCAGCCTTGTCTGACTCCAGTCGTCACATGCAATGCATCTGTCAGCTGTCCTCCATTTGCGACTTTGCAGTGTAGTCCGTCATATCAATTCCTTATGATTATGACAGTCTTTTCCTGTATACCATAGTGTTGAAGAAGGTCCCATAGTGTTCTCTTATTCACGCTGTCAAACGCCTTCTCTGATTGTCGAGGAAGTTGATGTGTAGTGATGGATCCCACTCAGTAGATTGCATACCAATGGTCTGTAGTATCACGATTTGGTCTATGAACGACCGATCCTTACGGAATCCAAGCTGTTGATTTCGAAGCTGTGTGTCTACTGAATTTTTCATTCGGTCCAGCAACACTTAGTTGAAAACATTTCCTCGTACTGACAGTAATGTGATGCCTCTATAGTTTTCAAGTGTGAGAACTATAGTTCTCACACTTGCTGAGATCTCCTTTCTTTGGTGTCTTGATGAGTTATCCTTCTTTCTAATCTGCTGGTTATTTTTCTTCCTCTCAGACCTCGTGAATAGAGCATGTCTGTAATTTCTTCTATACCCGACCTCATTGGCTCAGCTTGTATGTTGTCAAGTTGTGCTGCTTCCCCACACCTGACTTGTCTAATGAGCATCCTGATTTCTTCGGTCGTTGATGGAATGACATCTATAAGAAAGTTTGTGTATACCGCCTCAATGTCCTGTGGGTTCAATTTAGTCGGTCTATTCAAGAGTTCTCCAGTGTTCCACCCACCTGTTCCTCTGTTCTTGAGTATCAGTGATTGGCTTTCCCTTTTTATTCTTGGCCGGCCTCTTTTGTTTACTGTATTTCCCATCTAGTTTGTCCGTTGTGTCGTATAGTTGTTTGATATTTCCTCGATGTGCAGCTTTTCCCACTATCGTTGCTAGGTCTTCTACGTATTTTTGCTTGTCGGTTCCAGTTCTCCTTTTCACCTGCTTGTTTGTTTCTGTGTATTCGGCCTGTGCCTCATCATTGCAATCACTGTGTGGTGATCTGAAACTACTTCAACTCCTCTCTTTGTTCTCACGCTTTTCATTGACAGTCTGTATTTCTTTTTATTGATCCAAATATGACCATTTTGGTTCGCTGTAGTGTGATCCTGTGACCCCGATGTAACCTCACGTGTGCATTGATGAGTGGAAATGCTGCTATGTATAACTGTGTTATTGAAAGCACATAGGTTTTCCATTCTCTCAATATTCTCGTTCTTTTACCCACATTCATATCACTCCATGATGCCTTTATACTGGGCGTTAACCATCTCAGATTTGGTGTTCCGATTTCCTATCAGGATGTTCAGTTGCCTTCCTCGAAAGTTCTCTGCGACCGACTTTAGCCTCATAAAGCCGGTCTCCATCATATTCGCTGCTACGATTAGCGGGTGCATAACATTGGATGCCACTCATTGTGATTCCCTACTTGTTTGAAGAGCACCAATGCAACTGGTTGTGTGTGTGCGTGCGAAGCATTTTCTACTTCATGATAGGAACACAACAGTACCTGCTCCTAATTTGATCCTTCTGTCCAACTTGCATTCAATGTGTCCCGCTTTTCCGAGCAGCGATAGGTTGTAGTTTCTAATTTACCCATCCATTTGACTGATCCTTCCTGTCTCCTAAACTGTGCGAACATTTCATTTACCTATGTTAGTTATTGCTCTGGTTGCTAGAAGGGACATCAGCTCCATGATTTTCGAAGAATCTCGGATTTGACAATGAAGCTTTATAAGTCTTCTAAATTAAAATTCTTCAACTTTCAAGAGAGAGTCTAAATGGTTTAAATTGTTTATCGTGCTTAGCATGTTTTTGCAAGGTTGTTTTCTACGGGATAGGGTTTCTGACCCCATGAACAACCTTCCTCGTTTACCCAGGTTTCGGATCGGCAGTGACCGTAGAAGCTCTGCAACCGAATGTAAATACATTGATAGATGTACTAGTATTGATAGAAACAGGTTGAACAATTTTTTACGCATGTGAAATTTGCCAAAACGTGGGGAAATAAACTTATTAAAACGTTGATAGTGAAAATTGTGTGATAAGAAGTCTGTGAATAATTAGTTTAAATATCTAAGTAGTAAAGAAGAGATATCAAAGCGATGAAGAAAAACAAATAAACAAACGGAGCGAAGAATGTATAAAGTTTACCAAGTCGTATCACCTCAGGGAAAAGACAGAAGTAACATAAATTCCCTTTGAACAGTCTCGAGTTCTTATCACGAGTTCCTATAGCTTCTGTTGTGAGTAATGTACGATGTCTAACACAGTCCCTGTTTGGATTTCTTTTTTTAGCCTAGTTAAGTCGATTGATCACAAAGTGTCTACTTAATAGTATATACCAAATTGCTGTGTAGCAGTGAGTCGTTTAATTTATTGAACAAATTACAAACTTCATCTATAGACTTATGTCATAACTAAGAACTGGTCAACATTATGTTGTATACCATATACTGGCTCAACTATGATGAACTGAATACTATTTCTGAATTAAGCGATATGGCTGATACGTTACTGTACATGAATGCACTGAAGTCCATTTATTCGGTTATTGCTAATAAGTTTGTCAAAATTAAATAAAACTGGTTATTTTAGTCTATATCAATATATTGGGTTCCGGGAAGGAATTCCCAGTACAAGGCATAGGTTATTTTACAAATTCGTTTTTAAAAAAATTTCACCTTTATGTTTGATCTATTAACACTAATTTGATTGTCTCTCATTTCTTCAAAGTATAGACAAGTAGTATATCGAGAATTACAGCAGTTTCAGCGGAGTTCTTCGGTATTTAGTAAGCTTCCTTTGAAAATTTGATGAATTGATTATGCGATTAATATACAGATTTGTGGTTAGTGAAAGCACAATTTAAAAACAGAAAGTTCAGAGAAGGAATCTTTTTTCAATGAATTTCTTATCAAGCTGTACAATCGTATATGTATATGAAATTTTCGCTAAAGTATTAGTCCCGTGAAGACATATGAACATGGAATAAACCTGACGTAATAGAAAGATTATAATACCACATTACCTAATGTGAATAATCACAATAAGAGATTGTGTGTGCAAATAGAAAGCCCTATAAGATTAATAAGTTAGCAGAGGATTATAATGTAAATGAAGTTAGATGATCAAATTGTTTTTGTTACAATAATCAAAGGTAATGGAGGGGTTAAGTGAAATTAAGTGATATCAGAAACAACTATATATAAAATCATGAGGATTTGAAACATAATTAGAGAGAGGGGGATATTTTCATATATGAAATATAGTAGTAATAATAGTTTAAGGCCAAGGATAACTCGTAACTCTTTTGTGCACACAGTTCTGGCTTCAGATCACGGGTGGCTGGAGCTTCTGATGTTTTAAGGAGTTGGGTACTAAGAAATCTAAGTAGATTTCGACGGGCTGTATGCACATCTTTAAAATCAAACTGTGCATCAGTTGAGTAATTCGAGTCCTGT